TGAATTTCCATAACCCCTTTCCTTTTTTGAATTTATTAAACTTTAAGCTGATTTTAGGAATTGAATGATCTGATTTATATCCTGGCTCTATAGAAGAATTTACGCAACTGGATAACAAACACTCAGACACAAGAAAAAAATCAAGTCTAGCCTGTTTAACCGGATTAGTCCTTCTCCATGTGTATCTTCTAGAAAATTCATGATGTTCTCTAAAAATGTCTACTAAACCATAGTTTTCCATGAGTTCACCTACCTTTTCTCTTGCCTTAGGGTTATTTACATTTTTGTAGGTATTATCATAATCTATTTCTGGTTTTAAAACTAAATTAAAATCACCACAAATAATAACATCAGAGTTTCCTAGTTCCTCAACAACATCAACAATATTACTATAAAAGCCTGGATTATCCTGATTTGGACCATATATAGTTATGAGAGTAATTCTTGAACCTTCAATATTCATATCTAGGGCCAGAAAATTACCAGTATCATCTTTCTTTTCCTTATTAACCTTATATTCAAAATTATTATTTATGAGTATAGCTACACCCCTAGCATTGGACTTATAGAAATTAAAATAACACTCATACCCCCATTCACTTCTATAGATGTTTTCTTTATCTTGAGTGAAATGAGTATCCTGTAGACAAAATATATTACATGATTTACTTCTCAAGTAAGAAAAAACGTCTTTTCGTTTTACCCGATCCCCAAGACCCTGACAGTTTGAACTCAAAATCGTTATGTTATCAGCAGTATGTAGTAATAGACAAAAAGTAAATATAAGGTGTAACCCCAATCATTTTCCCGAAGCGAAACTTTGCCCATTTTCGTCAGAAGAAAACAGAACAGAAAAGAGACAGAAAGAGAGGAGAAAAGAAGAATAAAAAGTATCACAAAGGTCTGAGTCAAGACAACTTTACGACTCCGCGCCCTGAAGCAAAACAGTTAAGAAAAGTTTACCAGGCAAGACTCGTGCACAGGAACGGGAACGAGGTACAAACAGGAAGTAACCATTTCTACCGGAAGTACTATAGTAAAGATGGAAAAAACTAAGGTTATCATCCGTATTCTCCTGAAACTAGTGGAGAAAAAAAAAAAAAAAAAAAAACGGGTTCAGATTTTGAGTAAATCAACAAAGTAACAATAGAAATAAAATAAAATAATTGAATCCACTGATACAAAAATTATGAAAATGTATAGCGGACCGATAGTTAGTGAAGAGAGAAAGGTAGAGGGAAAAAAGAGGACGTGTTAGCCTAGCTAGTAACGATTACTGTGTATGGATCATCTTGTTACACTTATTGTGTAACGATAAACAGAAAAATATGACATACCTTAAATATCGAATTCCTTAATTCCAAGGTATAATTTCCAAGGGAACTCACACACATAAATTATATCACAACACACAAATATTATATCACAACACATGCACCTAGATCACGACTAATCGGTAACCGGGTAATTCCCGGAAAGGTCCATTACCGATTTAGCGCGACGCGATCAAACACATTGCCACTTACGAAAAATCGTCCCTTCTGGATCGTCTGAAATTCTCGTCCTTCATAAGGAAATCGTCAGTGAGAGGAATATCAAAAGAAAGCCTACGCTTTCTACCGTCCATTAGAATAGCATACAGCTTGCCGTCTATACTATAAGTATTTTTCACACAATTAAGTCTGTATGCCTCCTTAAGTCGATCCTGGTTATACTTAGTCAAGTCCTCAAAAACAGTCACACCGGAACCCTTTAACACTTGCCTGGCCTTCATGATCTCATGCTTTTTCGTCCTATGCGTGAACTTCACAATCACATTTCTGTTTTTTCCACGAACGAACTTCCCGAGTCTGTGGGTAATGTCAATATCTTCTTCCCTGAGTGGAACATTCAGCCTAGAGTTGACGAATCTCACAACACTTTCCTTACATTCGTCGACAGTCTCTTTTTCCGACGGATCCTCTAGTCCGAAAATTCTAATTGAATTTTTTCGTCCATGTTGTTCTAAGTCATTAAACTTTTCACCCATAGTGGTCTTTGAGACTTGGAGTTCTGAACACTTAGATTCCAGGTTCTCAACATGCTCTCTAAGCATTTCATTTTCCTTCTCCAGTTCGTAAATACGTCCTTCCAATGACTCTACCAACTCACGATTCTCTTCTTTGATGTCATCCCTCAACTTTGTGAACTTTTCCTCCATCTTGTCAGTAATTCGAAGGATCTTTTTGTCCATCTCCGTTTTCGTCACAAGGTTATGAAGCATTGCAGTAATTTCTTCCAATCTTTCTTCTGTTGTCTTGGTACCTGTAGTACTCTGACTTCTTGTTGTTCCAGGTTTCCCCATGTTTCAAAAGTTCACAAACATCTATATACACATATGTAAAGCGTATAAGGCACGAACTACATGTAAGCTGTATAGTGGGCGCGTCGTAAGTAGTTGTCACGCTAAGGTCTAATCCATTGTCCTTTTAGCAAAAGTCCAAAAAAACACTTTCCAGGTTAAGATTTCAAGAAATTCTTCAACCGTTCAGATTCGGAATGTATTAACAATCCATAGTCCAAAAATCACAATATTCTGAACGCCAGAAAATTACATAAATAACTCTACTCGCTCAGAGCAAATTTTTAGTGACCACCCAGGTCCGCGTGACCTTGACCTTTCCACCTATTATAAAGTTATCCATTGTCAGGAATAATGTCTTCTTTCTCATTTGTTTGTTATTTTTCAAACACACTCACTCATTCACTCACTCACTCACTCACTCACCCACCCACCCACCCACTCACTCACTCCTAAATCAAGAAATACAAATGTCCAGGTAGCTTCACAATCATGGTGATGATGGTCCAAAGAATAATATGGTGACAATAGAGTTGAAGCAACAGTCGCTAACCCACGACCCAGCTCAATCCAAGGTCATGAGTATAATTACTACCAGTATCATGCTTGAACACACCTAACTTGGCAAATGCTTGTCCATGACACGACAACAAACCTCAGCAGTCGATGAATTCTCCTAAGTTCATGCAGTGGCTAATCAAATTGCTGACCTGAGTCTGCATGATGATTCCCGCATAGATGGATGGCTGACCTTGACCCTGGCGAAAGATGATTATCCTGGCCGGTCCTGATGCCTGGACACTACTGGGTGGGAACACCTGCCTGGTCCTGACTCACTAGCTGAAGCTGCTAGCCCGCCAAGTGAAGCTACAATAAGTTAACTGATACAAAACTATAGGATATGAACAACCAAATATGTTTTGAATACATAATAATAATGTGCAGCTCCAATTTATTCTTGAACTTACATAAAATCGCACGATACACAAACTGACACTTGATGGCCTCTAAATATTTTCCACCGGTAAGTGTACCAACAACATTCAACACTGTGACAATAGAACAGGGCTTCCATACATTTTTAAATACATTAACACATGATACAAACTACATAATTACATATTCAACAATCCGGTATATATTTATATATACAATAGTAGTACATACACACTTTATGAAGTTAACATAAAAACAACATAAATATGACTTATTTCGCCAAAATAATAAACAATGGTCACGGCTGTCTGGAGCGCACAGATTGTTTGAAAAGATAATAACACAATACAATACAATAATTCAAACTAAAATAGAATAGAGAAAGAGAGAAAGTTTACTTACCACAGTCTGTCTTCTGAGCATGAATCACATTATAGAGCGATAAATCCATATCGGATACATGAGGAAAATATGCCATGTCTGTTATCCTAAACAGCTTACCTCGTTTATGTCTACCCATGGCGCATTTCTGCCCATGACACATTTCCAGCCAACATCGATGCCTAACTTTTGAGGTTACTTACGCAGTTATGATGATAAAAACAATATTTACATATACACAATCAACTCAACAAACTACATGCTTGTATGACACTCAATTTACCATTTTTGACCTTAGTGCACATACCCCATTAAGTGCACCTTTTTCAGTTTTTCAGGGAAAGAGGATGAGTGTGCCAAAGAAAATCTTTAAAAAATTACAAGACAGATCTGCCAGTATTGTCTATAGTCTTTTAACCAGACTCTGTTTCATAGAAATGAAAAAAAAAAAAAAAAAACATGAAAAGAAAACTTTATTTCAAAGCCACCTCCAATGGATAAGTGAATGTAGAGATTGACAAATATAGCTATAAATAGATTTAACAATATATTTATGTCCTGAGAGATCGCCTTAGAATATAAGGTTCCAATATAGATGCATTAATTACGAATAAAAACTTGATAACTATTGTTGAATGTTCCATCACTTATTCATAGTTTTTGATAGTTTGTTAATGATAGTGTACAGCCAGTGTATCTTGAGGGGCCCCACAGGGGACACAAACCCTAAAGAAAAGTGCATTAGTGGATTGTAACATAGCAATAAACCCCAAGAATACCTGGAATGAAACGTCAATCAGAACACCACACCGGGATTAGTTTAATATTTTTTCACCCATAAAATGCATTGTAAGCAGGCCCATCAGAAAATACTACACTAGTTTGCTCCACATGGCTTTGTCATAATTCACATTGATTATTCAGTAATATACAATCAATCTATCATTTACAACCTTTGAAAGGAGGGTAAGGGTTAGGTTAGGTTAATTGCAGCCCTCGACTTGGTTTCATTGTTACCATGTTAAGACGAATCATTTTGGGAAGGCTGGACCATCATCTGGTGACAGCGTTTATAAAGTATACTTGTACATTACTATTTATTTGTGAAATTGATCAGAAAAGTCCTATTCATTTTACATGTGAAGTTTTTGAGGTGTGCAGTGTATGAATTATACACTATAATCTATTTTTTCTTATTGCAGGTATAAAGTGAAGTGAATCTAAAAATGTCCGGGAGGAGCAGATTTTAAAGTGAGGTCTGTCAAGTTATGATTTTTCCAGTATACAGGTACCTTATAAAAAGAGTTCAATCTAATTACTTCCTGTATCCAAGCTTATATAAATGTCTGGTCATACCTGCTTGCTGGAAAGTACTGACAGTGGTACGACTCTAGGGAGAGACAACAGTGTAGTGATGGGCTGTCAGCAGTCCACAAATTCTTCATATGAAGTCCCTGCGGTGTCTCAGGAGTCAAGTATTGTCAAAGTCAATCTGCATGGGATCCTGGAGTGTCACCTAGTTAGAGACACCACCAGATCTGTTGAGGAAATTATAAAAAAATTGCTCAGCATATATTATCCTACAGTGGGACCAGCAGCCATTCACCTGTTTGGACTAGCATTGCTTGACACCAAAAAGAATGACCGCTTTATCTGGAAAAGTCCACGATGTTTGGTAAAAGAACTGCAAGAACAGATTAAAAATGATGCAAACTTGAAATTATTTGTTCGGATAAGGTTTGTACCTGCTAGAGATAGATTGTTCAAATTAAAAATTTTTGGAAGTGATGTGATAAAATATTTGTACCATCAGCTACGGGAGGACCTTCTCACTGAGCGACTGAGACACGTATATGGATCACGGACCAAACTATCATCCGCAAAATGTCGTGGACTTGCTGTCTTGAATTTACTGATCGACAGTCGGCTTCAGAAAAAATCTGTCGATTTTGTTCTGGAACAACACAAACTGAAAGATTTCCTTCCTCCTAGTGAATGTGTTGCATTTTTGAAAAAAATTAAGCTTGAAAAAAACATGAAAGACCATGTGAAAAGGTTTGATATAAGTCATCCTGAGAGTAGCACTGACATTGAGGAATTGATGACAGGGTATGTACGTGACATACTCAAGGAAATTCTTGATTACAGTGTCGAACAGTATGATGCTAATGTCCTGGACATGAAAACAAGAAAACAATTTCCTGGAAAAATTCTTGTAGATATTCACCACAGTCCATCTGGAGTTTTCATTGATGGTGTAAGTCATTATATCTCATTAAGTTACTCTTTAATAACCAATTGATATTGAATCCAATTAAATTATCTGTTGATAACCAATTAATGTTAAATTTCGTTAAGTTATCCCTTGATAACTATTTAATATTATATCCCATTAAAATCATTTCGTTATAACAGAATAATATTCAATCCATTTTAATTGTACCTTAATAACCAATTGATATTAAATCCCATTAAGTTATCCCTTATTAACCAATTGTCATTGAATTGCATTGAATTATTCCATACTAACCAAATGATTTTGAATCCTTTTAAATCATCGCTTTATAACAAATTAATATGAAATTCTATCAAATTATCTCTTTATAACCATTTAATATTAAATCCCACTGAACTATCCATTAATAAACAAACAGAAAAAAAAATCAAAAAGAAAAGTTATTGATTTAAGGAAGAGTCATTCAGAAGAATTTATTGATGAAAAGTGCGACATTTCAAAGATGTTTTGATAACATGGTCCACGGTCACCGTATACATTTTGTATCAGTGACTGACATTTCAAAGATGTTTTGATAACATGGTTCACGGTCACCATATAGATTTAGTAACAGTGACTGACAATTTCAAAGATGTTTTGATAACATGGTCCACAGTCACCGTATAGATTTAGTAACAGTGACTGACAATTTCAAAGATGTTTTGATAACATGGTCCATGGTCATCGTATACATTTTGTATCAGTGACTGACATTTCAAAGATGTTTTGATAACATGGTCCACAGTCACCGTATACATTTTGTATCGATGACTGACATTTCAAAGATGTTTTGATAACATGGTCCACAGTCACTATATACATTTTGTATCAATGACTGACATTTCAAAGATGTTTTGATAACATGGTCCACGGTCAACGTATACATTTTGTATCAGTGACTGACATTTCAAAGATGTTTTGATAACACGGTCCATGGTCACCGTATACATTTTGTATCGATGACTGACATTTCAAAGATGTTTTGATAACATGGTCCACAGTCACTATATACATTTTGTATCAATGACTGACATTTCAAAGATGTTTTGATAACACGGTCCATGGTCACCGTATACATTTTGTATCAGTAACTGACATTTCAAAGATGTTTTGATAACACGGTCCATGGTCACCGTATACATTTTGTATCAGTAACTGACATTTCAAAGATGTTTTGATAACACGGTCCATGGTCACCGTATACATTTTGTATCAGTGACTACATGTACATTGTAGTTTGCCATCTTCACCATAGTACATGTCAGAATTAAGTAATGTATGTATAATCTATACAATAGTAGATCAGCAATGATTATCTTTACACATTTTCATTTTCAGGTGCCATTTTCAGAAATCAAAGAGCTTTGTTCTGCCAGTGTCACCCCAAATTATCTGAATAATGCTAACACTTGGAACGTCCATCTGGATCGCACCAATGGCAGACCGGAGGTCAGTAGTACTGTAAATAGGTTTAAACAGAGAGAAGCTATAGGGAGCTAGTTACTTGACTTGTAAATTGTTCAATTGTTAATATATATTCTTTTCTTTTAAAAGCAACTGACAATTTTGAGCAATGGCTGACAATTTTTTTTTCTTTTTAGATGAATCTGGCCAGTTACATTTACTGACTTAAGATCTTATGTTGTCATTTTTATTGCAAACAGAAGAAAAGTAAGAAGGCGAAGAGCTGGTAGTATTAAACATATTTTTCATGATGGTGGGATTGAGTGAGACTTTTCTGGAAGCAAATGCCTCATCATCAACATCTCACTTTCATATTTTTGTGATTTGATTTGTTGCTTAGAAATTATATTAACTTCTATCAAACAAAGCATCAAACAATCACATAAAGGTGACCTTGACTCATCCACACAAGACAAACTGATAGATAGATCAGATAAAGGTGACCTTGACTCATCCACACAAGACAAACTGATAGATAGATCAGATAAAGGTGAACTTGACTTATCCACACAAGACAAACTGACAGATATATCAGATAAAGGTGACCTTGACTCATCCACACAAGACAAACTGACAGCTAGATCACATAAAAGTGACCTTGACTCATCAACACAAGACAAATAAACTGTCTATCATTGACAAACAGCTAGATCACAGATCACCACAACTTGTATATCATTGACAAAATTACTGGTAAAATCACATGTCAGCTAAACTCCCCTTATCTTTCCTGTCTGTTTTACACTGACTTATTCCCTTTGTCTGTGATATACTTAATCAACTCACTTTTCTGTGATATACTAACTTATTTCCCTTGTTTGTTACATAATGATTTAACACTGTCGTGTGCGTTATTCTGACTGATTTCCTTTGTCTGTTACATACTTAATTATCTCCCTTTTCTGTGATATACTTAATTATCTCCCTTTTCTTGCACTTATTTCCCTTGTCTGTTATATACATGTACTAATGTGTCTCGCCAATCTTTCCCAGAGTGCAAAAACGGTTTTTTGTTCAATAATAAGGTATTTCATCACTTTTCTGCATTGTTATTTGTATTATTATTTTCTAAAATATATTTTTGTTCATCTGGAAAAAAAGACTACATTAGTTTATTAGGTGAGAAACCTTAAGGATTATATTGCTGAGGATTAAATTGGAGGTTTGAATTTTGTACTTTCACTTTTGAACTACCGATGTGTTCTTGAGATACATAATGATGTACTGTGACATCAGTGATAAGTAATTTTAATTTGGCTACAATAATATTGACACATAACATTTAAAAAAAAACTGTCTTTACTCTGATCAATAGGATAAAAACCTGTCTTCAACTTGAGTGTTGTCAGGGATGCAGCCATAGTTTTGCATCAGATCAAACTTTGATGCTTAACGTAAGGTCAACTATTGATAGTCTGTAAGCCATTTACAGAGGTGTATTGTGCCTGTTATGGAACAACAATTCTGGTAGACATTGGTGTTTCCCTTAACTATTATATAATGAGTTTTCCCCAGTTTGTTATAAACAGACTTATTGCCCTGCTTTGTGATATACAGAGTGATATCCCCTGTCTGTGATATACTGACTGATCTCCCCTGTCTGTGATGTACAAACTGATCTCCCCTATCTGTGATATACTGACTGATCTCCCCTGTCTGTGATATACTGACTGATCTCCCTTGTCTGTTATATACTGACTGATCTCCCTTGTCTGTTATATACTGACTGATCTCCCTTGTCTGTGATATACTGACTGATCTCCCCTGTCTGTGATGTACTGACTGATCTCCCTTGTCTGTGATATACTGACTGATCTCCCCTGTCTGTGATATACTGACTGATCTCCCCTGTCTGTTATATACTGACTGATCTCCCTTGTCTGTGATATACTGACTGATCTCCCCTGTCTGTGATATACTGACTGATCTCCCTTGTCTGTTATATACTGGTAGCAGTAAACAGTTAATTTGCATTTTTCCTGAAATTATTTGTCATGTTTGAGATATACAGGTATAGCAGATTGGTTATGAAAAATATATCATTACATGTATATATATCTATAAACTGTATAACAATTACATTAACAGTAGAGAGATGAAATTTGTGTGAAAAAAAAAATTCCTCTGATTTCTGACATTTGATTGTCATGGTTACCTACTGAAAAAATGCTAAAAATGCAAAAATACTGCTAATTCCAATCCAACACTACAACTTTCTAGGAGAAATTTAATTCTAATCACCTATCTTACAATCAACAACACTGTCATGGTAACAAAGTACTTACATTTCAGCAAATTCCAACTCGGAAATTCTTCATAACATGACCACATGTGAACACTATGAAAATTTCACTTCCTGTAAAGCTAGTTTTTGGTGGGTAGACACAGATTCGAGACTGCCCAAATAGTAATCTCCAACACAAAGCTAAAATATTATCCTGAAAAAAATGAAACCCCACATTGTCCACTTTAACATGACAGGACCAATTTTAGCAAGGATTTTTTTTTCATTTTTAATTAAAACCTTTATAATGGGGTAATCTAATGAGCAAAAAAATCACCCATGGCCACACCGAGAAACTGTGTACTGCTACCTTATACATCACAATTAGTTTTTTTAATTTCATTAAAATCCCTCTGAGTGTCTAGAAAATGATCACACGAACAAAACGATATATCGCTTTACTGTGTATCTCGAATAGCTATCGAGTAATATGGATTTTCCCGCATGGTGTGTTTTGACCAATTCTGCTCTCAAATTAGGAAGAAAGGGAGGTAATTTGAAAAATTAAAACCTCAATACGTCTTAAATTTACTTGAATAAAGTTGCAATTGAAACTGAATCAAGTAGTTGGTGCTTCTGTGAATTTAGATAACTGAAAAGCAGATTGATACTACAAAGATAAAGTCTGATGTTATGACGTCATGGTAACAGCTGATGTCATCAGTACTATGACGTCATCAATTGCTAATGATGGCTTCACCATGCACTGTGATGTCATAGTGAAGGCTAGAAATCCAACAAAAACTTCAAATTAGCTTCTGACACATTTCTCGAAAGTAATTAACAGTGATATGACATAAGATATTCTTAAATGTCATGTGTATGACATCACAAACACCTATGCTTACTGCCCCCCACCCTTCTTCAAGTGTAATATTAGAAACCCTATTACATTGCAATATTGTTCGAAAAATAGTCTTTTTTACAGCAGTAACTATGGAAATGTAATTTTATGACAATATTAACATGATTGTATGCCCAATCTATGAGAAATACACACACATTATTGAATAAAAATCATCAAAACAGAGAATTTATCCAAAATTCAAAAACTCATACTTTCCTTCTTAGTTACCATGGATACCACACCTTAAACTATTGGAATTGCCCAATAATCCAGTCTAAATACATTCTAAGGTTGTTACTGACTTATTTTATACCTGTTACCTACTGTAGAACAGTTTTCAAACTGATACCAAGCCTTTTGAAAACAGCTGAAATTCTCACCCACAAGAGCACCCAAATTACCTCCCTTTATGCACCCCTGATGAAATTAAAATAAAATCATTATGAACAAGTTTCAGTGTGTTTTTTATGTATTTATAGCAATTATGGAAAGGATTAAACTTAATTAAACATAGTAAAGCACATTTTAAATAGAACAATTTTTTTAATGTGCTATAAGGTAGCAGTAATGTATGTAATATATACTCTACAACCTGTTGTCCTGTCTCCAGTATGTAATATATATTCTACAACCTGTTGTCCTGTCTCCTGTATGTGATATATTCTACAACCTGTTGTCCTCTCTCCTGTATGTAATATATATTCTACAACCTGTTGTCCTCTCTCCTGTATGTAATATATATTCTACAACCTGTTGTCCTCTCTCCTGTATGTAATATATATTCTACAACCTGTTGTCCTCTCTCCTGTATGAAACATATACTCTACAACCTGTTGTCCTGTCTCCAGTATGTGACATATATTCTACAACCTGTTGTCCTCTCTCCTGTATGTAATATACTCTACAACCCGTTGTCCTGTCTCCTGTATGTGATATATTCTACAACCTGTTGTCCTGTCTCCTGTATATATTATATACTCTACAACCTGTTGTCCTGTCTCCTATATGTGATATATTCTACAACCTGTTGTCCTCTATCCTGTATGTGACATCTACTCTACAACCTGTTGTCCTGTCTCCTGTATGTAATGTATATTCTACAACCTGTTGTCCTGTCTCCTGTATGTGACATATACTCTACAACCTGTTGTCCTGTCTCCTGTATGTAATATATATTCTACAACCTGTTGTCCTCTCTCCTGTATGTGATATACTCTACAACCCGTTGTCCTGTCTCCTGTATGTAATATATATTCTACAACCTGTTGTCCTCTCTCCTGTACGTGATATATTCTACAACCTGTTGTCCTCTCTCCTGTATGTGATATATTCTACAACCTGTTGTCCTCTCTCCTGTATGTAATATATATTCTACAACCTGTTGTCCTCCTATCTACTGTATGTGATATACTCTACAACCTGTTGTCCTGTCTCCTGTATGTAATATATATTCTACAACCTGTTGTCCTCTCTCCTGTATGTGATATATATTCTACAACCTGTTGTCCTGTGTACTGTATGTAATATATATTCTACAACCTGTTGTCCTCTCTCCTGTATGTGATATATTCTACAACCTGTTGTCCTCTCTCATGTATGTAATATATATTCTACAACCTGTTGTCCTCTCTCCAGTATGTAATATATATTCTACAACCTGTTGTCCTCTCTCCCTGTATCCTGTATATTCTACATATATATCCTGTATGTACATACCTGTTGTCCTCTCTCCTGTATATGATGTATATACTCTACAACCTGTTGTCCTGTCTCCTGTATGTAATATATATTCTACAACCTGTTGTCCTCTCTCCTGTATGTAATATATATTCTACAACCTGTTGTCCTCTCTCC